ATTTTCTCACGTATTAAAGTATTATGATTTTTTTAAAATTTGATAAAGTGATCATTAATTAAAAAGTATTTTGGATCTATTAAAGTCTTATTTTAATTTTGGAAAGTGTGTATCAAATCTCATAATGAAAAGAATGCGCTGCGGCCAGTTATACGAGCTCACGTGCATTTCTACCACTCCCATCCCTCGTTCATCCGAATGTTGAGAGTTTTCAACTCCCTAGCGCTTGTTAGACGATCAAAGTGCAAACATTTTCAGCCCCGAGGAACCTTTCCGCCACATTTCATCCAGAATAACTGCGACCTAAGGGCGCATAACTTATCACACATATCCTCTATTCATATTTGCAGGATTGCATTCGTAATTTGAGCGTTCATAGGTCCTTTACAACGACTTTCGGTGGCAGCTAACCGGAAAATTGCATGTTAACGACTCCGAAACATAAATAGTGTACATATAATGGAGTTTCATGCTTTACATCGGACTTTTTCTTCTTCTCAAAAATACGAACTCGCTCGGTTAAACAACAGCCATTAATAACAAACCCAACAACAGGTGATTGTAACTAATGAAGACGAGTGTGTCGTTCTTAAGCAAATTAAGATTCCGACCGTGGAAAAAATACAGGAATTAAGCTTTTTACCTTAAAACGTGCGGCTTGAAACACGGTGCATACACGTAGGTAGCGATAGAAAAGCCATGCTCGGACTTCTTGTTGGTTGGCACGGGTGGAGGAAAGCGGGGTTTTTCCTTGTTTTAAATTTTAGCGGGGATTACGTCACTTAATTAAGTTGCAATATCACGAGTGGTGGCCATGTCCTCAGAGGCATTTAAGCTTAGTGACGGACTTTTAATATGCTCGTCCGTTCCTTTTTTTTTTTTTTTTTTTTTTTTTTGTCTTTATTACCCCAGAGACACTGTGATCCCCTTTCATGGCTTCAGTCCGTGATTACTTTGACTCTACCAAGAATCGCAGTTTTTTCGTTGGGGTTGCTTTGGAGTTAGGTGGTTTTCGCCTAGCATGGCAAAATGTTAGGCCCCTCATTCCTGCTATAAAAGTGTGGGCGAGCGTGCATGCATGATCTTATGGCCTACATCCAAATGACAGAGGTAGCGTTTGCAACATCGAGTCCCTGGTTTTAAAAGTTACTCAAAGCACTTTTTCCCCCTACAGCCTTTGTTTCTTTGCGGAATTTATCAGGTGATACACAATGTGATTGACATCTTATCATGCCAAGTTTACGTTCATGTCATAGTGATTCAGATACAGCGGTGTGAGGCGCGGCGATAATGATCGATTATTGCTATTTCCCCATTTGAAGCTATGGTGAAGAACCGATTATCAGGGTGTTTGTTGCGAGCTTTTAGCCTATATTAGAGCTATGATCTAATTTTATTTCGTAAACACTACAAAGATAAGTATGAGTTTGCATCCCTGGTTGAATCCCGGAAAATAATAAGTATGGAGAAATAAATAATGAACTTTGATGTTTCGATCAAAAGCATCCGTACTGCCGGGCTAAGGAAAAACGTCTTATGGGCCTTCAAATGTTGCCAAATTCCCTCTTAGAAAATATAATTTTTAAGGAAAACTGTGAATATTTTTTTTGAAATGTGCATACATTTTAGCTCAGAGTACGAACAAAATTCCATGAAAAATCGGAGGAAAAATATTTACAAAAAATCCTCCCGAAAATTCTTGATTTGTTAAAAGAAATTTGGCAACGCCTGACGGCTCATACGACGTTTTTCCTTAACACGGGAGGGAAGGAGCATGGAGATATGAGGCTACCAGAGCAGAAAAAGGGAAACCGGAAACTTAGGTTTCGGAGTTTACGAACGTAAGAAACGCGGGCACACTTCTCCGGTTAACGAATTCCTGTGGGACCCCTGATTTTCTTAGCGGCAAACGGAGCCAATCTCTCGAATCCAGAACAGAGCGGAACTTTCAGTCCGCCGAACACATTCCTCCCGTTTGTATGAAAAACTAAGGGGGCTCGGTCAAAATGTTTCACCAATGGCGAGTCACGGAATATCAAGGCGGAAGTGTGCATGGAGTGGTTGGCGTAAAGATTGAAATTAATGAGCAAGAACAAAATTATCCGATCTAATGTGTCGAAATTTGTGTAATTCAAATGTTCAAATTCGGTTGTTTTACGGTGTAAAGCAAGAAAATCGCAGACTTTCTTATCTGTTTTTCCATCGAAAAAAATAAAATGCTAAACATTTGTCTGGTAATCCTTAGATACTGGCTTGATTGCCCGCGCAATTAACTCTAAATCGTGAAAATGCAAACATATAACTGAAGGGACAGCCAAACCAATATACAGGGACCCTCAAACGCATTCTTGACAGCCGATGTTGCTTTCATAGCATGTAATTGTTTTCTGATCGTCTAAAGTACGAGCAGTCTTTCTTATAACACCTGGCTCTTTTGTGTTTCATTTTTCCAGTATTTTGCAAAAGTACGACTCGGTCAATTTAAAAATATGAACGATGAATGATTATTATAAATGGCAGAGCGCATTTTTCGAGAGATAAAATCGAAAAAAGAAATAGAATGTCCTGCTACATATGAATCTCTGCTGAAATATTTAAGAGCACCCGACAAACTCTAACTTATCTTCCTACTTTTAACAGATATTTTTGGTTACCCTCTATTAAAAATTGTAAAATATATTTTGTCAAATTATGCATTTTTAAAGGTGAACATTTGAGATCGGAACAAATTAAACGTTTCGCGAAAAACAATATCAGAACTTTTTTTAAATGCTGATTGGTCAGTGCAAACACGTAATCCTGAGGCCGGTATCGTAAAAATTCAAGAGCCTCATTAGAATTGGAGCCCTTACGTTTCTCCCCCAAGGATCAGCATAATCTCGTTACGACGGAGGGGCTGGAAAAAAAAACTTCATCACAAGAGTAACTTTCTTCGAGGTAGTATCATGTTACATCCTCTAAGCACTGGCTGAATAAGGAAGGGATTCTTGGATGTCGAAGCGCCTCGATCACAGATGAAATTTCGGCCTAATGTCAAAAGACTCAAGCAAATGTACCTTGCAGGAAGTGCTTCCACATTTTTCCCCGTATTATTTGTCGACAAGTTCGTGTAATAATTTAACTGTGTTCATAATGATGTTCCGCAAATTCACAAAAATATCATAAAAATTATCTTTTTCTCTTATGTTATGCTTTGAAAGAGATTAAATTTGCTAATTTTTGGTTTTTAGACTTTTGATATCTCTCCTCCCAATTTGTTTTTTTAAATATATTTTTCACCCTTTCCGATTCTCTTATCGAACATTCTTATCCACGCTACTCGCGTCTGATAAATGTGTTTTAAATTGACGGACTAATATAATACCCGCATCATGATTAAATGTGATGTTGTGTAATGTTCATTGCGTATACTGAGGAACTAAAATTTAAAATGTAAACATTTTCATTAAAGAATACCAGCTGTCGGCTTGGAGCTCTGAGATACGAAAGCTTGAAATCTTTGATGAGTAACCTAAAAAGTAAAGGTATAAATGAAACGAATAAGGAGTTTTAAGCTGTATTTGCTCTCAGGAAAAGGATCAGAATTCGGGATTAAATGCTGCCGAGTTCCTCACAATCTTGTCTGCGCTTACTAAGCTGATAAGAGTCACACTTTTGGTTTTCAATTTGGCAACATAACATAATCGTATGGATAAATGAGCAAAGGGTTTAATTGAATGAGCTCGTTCACGAATCAAATGAGTCTCACATGCATCAGCGATAGACATTCATCAGGCGCACAAAGTCGCTGTAACTGCGTTGTCATCCGACGGTTAAGTTGGCTTCCGCAAGTCCCATTATTACAACAGGTAGAGTTAGGCTAGGCGATTGCACAAGGCTGAATCTCTGAATTAGTCACGCTGCTATGAGTTGCTCTGTCAGCTAGCTCCTCATTATGGTGCCCTCAGGATCCATAGGGATTTACGATCTGTGCATGTAGCTGTGTATAAAATTTAGCGAAAAACATCGAAACGCGTAGAGGCTATTAACATCCACATTAAAAGTTAGAAAAGCCGCAAATTTAGTGGGGTTTTAGTTGTACGGCTTCCACTTCTAGTGAAAATTACTTCCTTAAAATAAACAGATTTTTGTTATTATTATAGTCATGTGCCTATATATCTTTGAATAACTAAGTGGCACAAGAGTGCTGGATCCAAGCTACTCTGCGGGGAAAACAAGAACAAATTCAAAAATTTCAATTAGAGTATAAAATGTTGAGCTCTAAGATTCGTATAAAAAAAGAGGAAAAAAAAACAGGTTTAAAAAACACGCAATTCGTGATTCGTCATCACAGAAAATTTGCAAAACACTCGTATTTATAAATATATGCAGGTTGCACATTGAAGACAGCTAGCTAGTAGTCTGACACACAGAATATCATCATATCATCATCATGACAATATATAATTCCGTAAGCCCGATCATTTGGGTCAAAATTTAGCGGGGGCCTTTTAATCCCCATTTTTCGATGCCGCGCGCGATTATCCTAACGCGAGTTCGAATAATCGCGCCGAACACGGTGAGGTCGGTGTCAAACTCATATCAGCGCCTGCAAGACTGTAGGAATACTTTACGCATTGCGCCAAACAGTGCGGCCGATGTCAAACGCATATTACCGCCTACAAGACTGCATTAATACTTCTCGCATTGCATCAAACGCAATGCGAGAGTTATTTGCGATAACTACTTGACCACGAGTATAGGCACATAGCCGCTAACTGGATTGAAGGCGTATCACATTGTGAAGATGACTCGACACTCGACTGAGCTCCCTTCCCTGGCTTGCGCGACGCAAAAATCGCCCCGAAACTAGAACCGCGCATTTTTTCTGCAAGATACTCACACTTTCCTAAAATGAGCGACGCGTAATAAAATTTATACTGGTTGGGAAAAACATAATTTCCGAACGGTCGGTGGCATACTAAAATAAGATATCAGGAAAATATTGAGTATAAACGCACCTATAACTTCGAGAAATCCGACTTGGCTCTTCATTGGATCTGTGTTAATTTGACACATGTACCAGCCTCTGTCTGATTCTTTGAGCTCCTTGATGTGAAGGTGCCACGTTCTCTCGTCCGTATTGCTCACGCCGATCCGATGATTTTTTGTGATCACATGATGGTGGATCGTTAAAATTGTCTGCGTGTCGACGCGAAGCCAAGCGACCTGTGAACAACATAAAAAAATCAATTAAATTATGAGGGATTAAATGATATTTTGACGATTGTTTTGTTAGTGTACTCATAAAAAATTAACCCATTTTGGGGATCTTGTCCGTACGCCTTTAAAAATAAAAGAAAACGCCAAAGAGCCTGACTCATTTTTACCAAATTTGTCAGTTAGGTGGTATTGCTCCATGACCCTAAAATGTGTTTTCTAAGGTTTAGAATAGAATACAAAAAATAATAGTTCGACGTCATTCGTTAAGAATAGAATGTAAAAATAATAGTCTGACGTCATTCAGGCAAGACCGCACCAGGAAATAGTTACAGAGGTCGCTTTCGCGGTCTGCTAAAATTATGTCATTTTCCGAAGCTATTGTTGTAGGATGAAGCCGCAGCGCCTAAGAGGGTTGCGCTTCGGATGAAAAGCGACTCCAAATTAATTATTATCAATCAATAAGTTTGGCTCAGTTATCGGGTATGGTTTTGTCAGCCACCTGAAATTTCCGAGCGACTCCGAGACGAGCGAAACGTAACCAGGGGTAGTATCTTCCCTGTCAAAGACCGCAGTAGCGTTTGATAGGTTCATCATCTCGTTGGATCGAAAGAAACGCACGGAGAAATTGGATTGCTGATTTCACAATTAAATTGTTAAAAAAATATGTCCGACATGTTCCAAATGTACATTTTACAATTGTGGAAAGCTAATTTAGGGGGTCGTTAAATTGGCATTTTTTTATCATCAAATCTGCATTGGAACATTTAGTACATCTTTTTCACTGCAAAATTGTAAAAGCAGCAATACTTATCATTTTTTCCCGTGCGGAATTATTTGTTTGATCGATGAATTGCATTCGAAAACCTCGCAAAAAAAATAATTACAACACGGCTGTTTTGAAATAAATGAATGCGTGATCGATGAGGTTTTTAACAATAATTCGCTTTATTTTAGTCTCGTCGCTTTACGTGAGCTTTTAACGATAAGTGCATACAATCACACGACACGGAAAAAAATAGGGTATAGTCGACACAACCAGCGGCTAGTTAAAAATGCGCTAGCTACCGTGCGGTAGTTATCGTAACTACCGCAAGGTAGCTGGCGCATTTTTAACTAGTCGCTGGTTGTGTCGACTACCCTATTTTTTCCGTGGAAACTATTAAATCAAAATCGATCTCCTAATTTCCGACGTGCGGTTTCAAAATGCCCATGTGAGGGATGTCCCATGAAGGGATGGTGGCAGGTCGTGGACGAAGAGATTTTGCGTTTTTGGTGGGCCAAGAACCCTTAAGAAGTTAGGCACGTGTGTCCTTTGGGTGTTGCAGGGCGCCGGAATGCATCATGAGAGTGACTTATATGTATCTATTTTTCAAAATGTTCGTTTTTTATACTTTCATGTAGGAAAAAAAAATAAAAAAAGCTGCTGCATTAAATGTTTAATAAACATGTTTAAGTGGGCAACATGAAATCATGCAAAATCCGGGGAAAAAGTTTTAGGGGTTATCCCCCAAAATTATGGTACTACCCCAATTTGTTGGATGATAAGGACATTTCCAATTAATCGTGGTAGTACCGCAACATTTGGGTTGGTAACCTAATTTATTGAGGTACCACGGTGGTACCACCAACACAATTAATTGGAAATGTCCATATCATATAACAACGTTCATGCTTTTTTTTCCGTGATTTCAAAATGTAAAACCAAAAAGTCTCCCTAGTCTCAACGAAATTCAACAGTGATTTTTCAAAATTGTCAGAGGAGTCACATGTTAATCCAATTCCATCACCAACATAACAGGAACTCCGGTATCAGTCTGATGGCTTTCTCTCCCTCATCTTGGGGGCTATCATCCAGAAAATAGTCATTAAATAGATACTGATCAACATTGACGATCCTTAAAGGGGTGTCACTTTTTCTTTAGAACCTCCCCTCTGAAATCACACACGTCTTTAGAGACTATAGAGACGACTTGGCTTTGGCATGAGATAAAAAGGAACCCAACTCCAAAGGCCAAAAATACTGCCGTGCTAAGGAAAAACGCCGTATGAGCCTTCAGACGTTACAGCCGAATTTACTGGGAAAATAGTAAATATTTTAACCGAAAATTTTCAGCATATTGTGTACGCAATTTAATCTAAAATAGCTGAACATGTCAAGGGAAAATATGAGTAAATCGCGTCAAAAAGGAGGGTATGGATTCGATCGGCATGAATCGATTGAAAAATAAAAACATGAATCGATCGACATGAATCGATCGACATCGATTCGATCGACAAATTGTTAAAAAACCGGTGTCGATTCGATCGACATGAATCGATCGAAAAATGAAAACGTAAATCGATCGACATGAATCGATCGTTACCGATTCAATCGACATATTATTAAAAGACCGGTGTCAATTCGATCGACATGAATCGATCGAAAAATTAAAACGTGATTCGATCGATATGAATCGATAGACACCGAATCGATTGACAGTTAATTTAAAAACACCCGTGTCGATTCGATCGAATACATGTTTTATGAAGGAAAATTCGGCAGCTCTCGAATGCTCATACGGCGTTCTTCCTTAGTAGAGTACGTCTGCGTTCGATCCGATCTCACCCACGAAAATATTTCTCCGGATGCGTTTTCCATCCCGTCGTTGTTTCCGTCGCCCCCTCGTCTGGTCCCTGCGAAAGGATTATGCACCCTCCACGCTATCTGCTCAGCTGACGCGTTTGCCGCTTTTTAATCAGGAGCCGGTGGGCGGGCGGGGGTGNGGGGTTCCTCCGGCTTGTAAACCTGGGGTGGAACAGGGAGACTACAGGGCGGAAACTCGCCGAATTCGAGTCGGCGGGCTGGGGAGGCGTGCGTTCCGTTTTGCAACATTTCGAGGGCGCGAGGCGGTCCGCCCCGGAGCTCGGTGGCACGAAGGTAATCGGAATTCAGACTGTGGACTTTGATAGGACCCTTGTTTTGCTTTGCCGGGTGATGACGGTCAGGGGTGAGGTATTCTTTCCCTTGGACTGATGCTCTTCACATTGACGTTCGAGGAAGAAGATGAGTCATAGCATCGACACCACTGTTAATTGAATTATATTTTCCAATAAGGAACCACTTATATCTTTGGCTCTCCCATACAAGCACATACTCGTATGGGCGTATCTCTATCAAACGGAACTAAGCGCCATAGGTGGAGGAAGGGAGAGGGGCATCTGTATTGGCGGGTATTGCGGAACGCGATGCTAGTCCGTCCTATACTCGCAATGCTTTTCCATGCGCTNAAAAAAAAAAAAAAAAAAAAAAAATCACATCGGATCTAGAGTCCAGACTCTTGAAAACATTGACATGAAAAAATACTCTTGATTCAATCAGATTTTACATCAAGATCCAAGCCTCTTAATTTGAGCGGATTTCCTTTTGATTTAAGCTTAAATCTGATTGAATCAAGAGTCCGTTTTCTTGTCAATGTTTTCAAGAGTCTGGACGCTAGATCCAATGTATTTCTTTTTTCCAGTGTGGCGCTTAGTTCCGTGTGACTGAACGCGCTATCCGGGATTCCAAAATCCTCAAATGGAACTCAATTTGGCGCTTCGTTCCGTTTAACAGAAATACGCCTATATCTGCATTCTGAAACCAATGACATGTATGTTGTTTCTGAATGTACCAGACATAGTCCTTAATGCAAAATGTAGTCCAATTGGAACGGGTTTAGCAAAAAGAAACCAAGCCACATCAGCTATCGCCAAATTTAACTGAATTTTTTACAAGAGAATGTTTGTACGGATTTTCTTACAAAGTTAAAGGAATTTGCCTCGTACTATGCAGAAAATTTACTAAAATTTGCAAAAAAAAATCCGCACAGTTTTTTTTTTTACGTAAAAAACTAAATTGCCCGACTAAATTTGGCAATAGTTGGTGTGACTTGGTTCCTTTCTGCCTGTTTAGATCAAGAAGAGGGGGGCTTGTATGAAGCAGGAACCTGCTTGACTTGAGCCAAAATCTTTATTCGAGAGGAAATCTTCTTACCGACGAGTCAACTTATTTTTCCCCATTGTTGATGACCATCGCTGGAGGCCATATACGACTCGTAAACCTTAGTTTTTTTTTTCCTCAAAGAAAGTCCGATCAAAGTTCAATCATAATTGGACCATATGTTTCTTTTCAAAAGAGATTTTCAGCGCAACCGATACTTTGCACTGATTTCACCGGAATCTGCTCCATTACATCTGACGCTGCCTAATTTTCTCCAAATTTTCATATTCTAAACAGAAAACTAAGGAACAGTGATGTGATTCGCCTTCAAATATGAGTGATACCAGACCACGACATAAGAGTGCGTTAAGTTGCATCAGATACTCTCAATCATTTTGTGGTTCTCATTTGGCTTGACATTTTATGAGTATATTCTTCATACTCCAGGGTAAATGCTTAGAAATTCTAAAGGCTTTGAATGGTCTAGTTTTCTGTTGAAAAATAAATCACAAAAGGAAAGTAGGCACCGCGAAATGCAGTTAAACTAATTTAGGTTTTAGCCGTCCACTGATTTGGACGTATTTCTATCAAACGGAACTGTGCACTGGAAAAATAACACATTGGATCTAGAATCCAGGTTCTTGGAAACATTGACAAGAAAAAATACTCTTGATTCAATCAGATTTTTGCTTAGATCAAAAGGAAATCCGCTCAAATTACGAGGCTTGGTTCTTGATTTAAGCAAAAATCCGATTGAATCAAGAGTATTTTTTCTTGTCGATGTTTTTAAGAGTCTGGACTCTAGATCCAATGTGGTTTTTTTCAGTGTGTGCATGAAGACATGAGCCCTGAGACCCATAAGAATATGTGCATAACAGGGCTCACGTCATAATGCACATAGTTCCGTTTGATAGAAATACGTCCATTTGAACTTAAGATGCTACTATTTCTGGCTCATACGTAAAAGACCGATCTGCATGGAGGAGCTAACGCCTCTCATGTTGTTTCTAAAATGAGCCGAACATAGAGGTTTCTCATTGCTGAGCGT